AAACAATTGTTTCTTCGAATGAGGAGGATAATCTTGCTGATTCAATATACTCTATACCTTTCTCAGATAAGAGCGCTAAAAGATGGAATAAACATAGCTCTGGAACACACAAGATAAGGAATTCATATTTTTGAGATATATTTTATTATTAATTGATTTATAGTTAGAAATAGAGTGATATAAACAATCTATTACGAGCTACATATTATCAAAAAGGCCTCGAAAAACTGTCTTTTCTGAAGTTGTAGATAGTTTACTTCATATTAATGAATCTTTAAGAGATTTTAATAAATCGAAAAACCACTCTAGTGCCTTACATACTCAAGTCGATAACCTACTACCCCTTTAGCACCAAGCATACTATATGATCGCATAAAACTACCCTAGCAAATATGAGTCTCTAGGGGCCGATATTGCTTTTAAGCTTGTTGATTTCCTATAATATCCGGTGTCTGGTATTCGTTAATCTTATAGTGAGCTGTTGATGTTTATATATATAGGCTTATTTCAAACAGAGTTTGTGGATAAGATCTGTAGAAAGCTTAAAGAGTAGTACAAAAAAAAAAATAATAAAATACCTCTATTATTCGCTCTTTTATAATAAGCTTTAAATAAAAAATGGCTTCTAAGTTCTAATAGTTTTTGATTTGGTAATTCTATTTACTCTATTCTCTTTATTATATATTTTTATTAATATAATCTTTGTATTTATTTAATTAAATATTAATATTATATTTTTCAATACCTTTATCTTATTTGATATTAATAATATATGAGTACGAATAACATCTATTCACTAGTCCTAGGTATGTGAAATAAAGAATATAAGTATATAATAACTGACTAATGAAAAATAACGAATGAGAAACAACTAATGAGAAATAGCTAATAAGAAATGGTTAATGAGAAATGGCTAGTAAAAAATGGCTAATGAGAAAACTATAAAGTTTAGCCTCTCAAAATATAATATCCATTAATAATAGGGGTTGCCAGCTTCATTATTCTTCGAAGAAAAATGCTATCTGTGTCTTTAATAGTTTACCTCTTTGTATGAAATACACAATATTGTAGTATTATAAATTAAATCAATAATCTACTCAATTAATAAATAGAAAGAATAGAAAACGCACTTTCAAAATAAATAATTATAAAGAATTCAGCTACCTCTTGAATTGCTACAAAAACAGCAGCATTTCATTTCTAACATTTTCCACCAAATGCAAATTAATCCGAAATCTTTTTAATTAAACATTAAAAAGAGGCTTTTTTCAAAAGCAATTCAATCGATTTTTGATATTTTTTAATCTTTTGTAATACAACCACTATACTCAATTAGTAAGAAAAAAGCTTAAAAATCAAGAAAAGATTTATTTACTCTCCACTTTTTATTGGTGAGCTTTTTTAACAACTTCTGCTTTTTCTTTTTTAGACTGCTTTCTTGCATTTTAAACCTTTACTTTCAAAGCTTTCTTTATATTTTTATTTTAAAAAAAGGTGATCTTTCATTTACACCTAGTTTTTATTTATTTGTTAATCTCTTTCTGATATTAGTATATGATATAGCTTCTCTATATAGTACGTTTGTAGTTTATATTACAACTACAGGATTTCCTGGAATGTAGTGTTTTCAAAACCTAGATTTGAATTATTTCAGTTTATTATAAAAAAGGTTTCAAATATTCAAGGGGTGCATACCTAAAAAGCTTTAAGAATAGGGGCAAAAGGAATAAGCATTGAAAAATTAAATATTTAGAAATGTGTATTTGTAAATTAATATATTATATATCACATAATTCAATTAATTATATTATTTATTTCTCATGGAATATAGTTATTTCAAATACGAAAATATTACAAATAGTACAAACAATATACTTTTAGAAATAATAATAATAATAATAATAATAAGCATTATATTTATAATATTGAATTTTTTCTAAGCTTCAAAGAATCAAAAAGATACCAATAGTAACTAAATCTAATAAAAAAAAGCTATAGGGAAAGTAAGAAGAATATTTGCAAAAACAAAAAGCTAGAAATGTATACAATCGAAAGGCAAAAATGATATTTAAAAAGCTAGAAGTCGAAAAAGAGAAAGATAGAAAAAAGTATCAGATTTCCTACACTTTGAAAGTACTTTGCAAAACTTCTGATTTTTTAAAGGTATTGAAGAATAGATAAAATAAAATGGTTGTACAAACTCGATTGAATATTGAAATACAATAATTCTAGTACATGGATCCAAATGAAAATCTGATTTTAATTAATTTTATTTAAAAAAGTATTAAAAACAAAAAACCTTATTCAAAATAATAATAACTCTATATTAGAGTTTGAATCAAATAATTCCGAAATAGATTTTGAGAATTGGAAAGTCAATATTGATAAGAAAGAGAAAGAGGAAGAGGAGGAATCTAATAATAAAGAAAAAAACAATAAAATTAGAAAACTTGAAAAGATTAATTTGAAAGATTAAAATATTAATCAAGAATTAAAACAAGTATAAAGGTATAATATTTATTAATTCTATAAATGCTAATATATAAGTTTAGACAGTTAGACTTTCTGGGATTTTGATTTGAATTAGAGCTTGGAAAGTTAGTGTAGAGTAGTTTATGATTAATTTAAAGAGTTTAAACGAAAAAATTAATAAAGAATCTTTGGATTTTTTATGGATAAAAGATTCATCTAGATAGGTTTATTTTGATTTTTTCTTATTAGTTATTTTTCCCTAGCCATTTCTCACTTACTATTTTTTATTTATTATTATATCAAATTATTAATATATTAATAGAGTATATTTATATCCTAATAAATTTCTTCATAAAATATTTAATTGTTGACAATGTGTTGTTTAGAGAAATCTTGTTTTTTGGAGTTTTGATATTTTGAAGCTAGAGGGAGAGAATAATATCAAGCTTTTTGGACCTAAAGAATGGTGGATCTCTAATAAGAGCTATGATTCAAAAAGATATGGATTTTGGATTTCTAAAGATGGGGTGAGATATAAGCAAGCTTGGAATCTATTCTATTATATAGAATGGAAAGAAAGATTTCTTTCAACTCCTTAAAAAATTTGAAGAAATGCTAGAAGTTATAGCAGAAGATAATGGTAAATAGAGAAATCCTAATGATTATTTTTTATTTTAATTATATATACTTATCAAATTTTATTTCAATACGGTATTGCTTTTCTTTTTCTCACGCTTTTCGAATTCTTTTTATTTTACAATAATCTTTTTATATAGTCTTTATAATTCCTTATCAAAAATAGTTTATAGATTGTAATGAAATAGAATCTAATTTGTTATTACTTGAATTTATTATTATATCATCCATAATACTTGAAACACAATTGATAATACAATCAAATTAAACTTCGAATAGATCTTCTTCAAAGCTATTTTATCAAATAAAATTATATAAAGTGTATAAAGTATAAATTATACATATTTGAATTATATATAAGTATTTTTGTTATTATATTAAAAATAGAAAGTGTATTTTAAATATTTCAAAAAAAATTTTAATCTTATTTTGTAAAGAAGAGTATTAAAGATTAAAAGCTCTTCTAATATTTTGAATATTTTATTAAATCCCAATTACTTTTGTAAATAATATCTTATCCTTTTGAATAAAATAAGAATCTACCCAATATTTACATATTCTGCATTATCTAGATAATAATAACCTTTTGAAATTTGTAAACCTTTTGAAATCAAAGTATTTGAAAGTATTTTTTGATTATTTGCAGAATTTTTTTAATTGGCTAATATATAGTAGAATTATAAATTGAAAGTAATTATTACAAGAATATTCTATACAATATACCCTTTTCAATTGAAATAAGCAGATCAATCTTTGAAAGGTACCATTGCTGGAATAAAGGTGCTATCGAAAGCTCCTAGACAATTTGCAAAATATATATGATATTTTTCATCTTTTGCTATTCGAGAAAGAGCGAATTATATAGTTGGATCTGGTAACTTTATTATTAATAGATATAATATCATTATAGTATCTAAAACTTGATAAAACCATTTTAAAACACATTAGAATAAATTAATAAATAGATTTATATAAAGTGTTTTTCATACCTATAAATTATTTCTTCAAAATGAGAAAAGGCTTTAGTTGTATTACATATAGTTCCACACTAGCCTACAATATAGAGAAATACATATAATTTTTGATTAATTGAAGTATATTGAAAGTATTATAGCTTTGTTTTTTCATGATAAAATTTAATCAAAAGTCGAAAAGTACATAAAGACATATATAGTTATTCTTGATAACATTGAGGGTGTTTAGAATCAAAAAAAGATTATATTTTAAATTTATCAGGAATACCAATTCTTTTTTTCGAAATTGAAATATAATAAAAGAGCTAATAATAGTAGTTAAATTATAAATCAAGATAGGAATAAATTGTTCAGAATTATTAACCTTATTGTCGTTTATTATAAATAAGAAAAAGGCAGTTTATAATTTAAATTATTAATAGAATCTAAAGCTATAATAAAAGAATATTAAAGAATCTACTTTTAAACTAAGCTATATATATTTTAGTATATAGAGAATAGAAATATAAAGTAATCTAAATCGAAATCAGAAACAATTTGAAGAAAAATAAAGATACCCTATAAACTTAGGTATTTGAAGTATTAATATCATTATAATATTATATGGATATAGAATAAAAGGCCTATAAGAGTTTATAAAAATGTGGATTATTTGTTAGATTGAAAATGAGGATTACTTTTTCTAATTCTTGTTTTCAATCCACACCCTTGTTTTCCCATACAAATTTAATGAAAAATGCGAATTATTTAGTGTCATTTTAGAATAATTTACCTTCTCCCACCTCGAAATATATTAAATTTATTGAAATACAGATTATTTAATAGAATCCGCAATTTGACATCCAAATATAAATTCAAAATCCGCTTTCAAAAAGAGCAGAATATTCAGCGGATCCAGTGCGGATTTGTACATCCAAACTAGCCCTTACTGCCCACCATAGACCATAAATCCAGGCTGTTCAAAGATGGCATGGTTAGACCCACTATGATTTCGTCCCAGTCTATTCTTGACAATTCGCTGTTACCAAAACTTTGCGTGATGAGGAGATGTTCGAGATTAGATGTAGCTTGTAGTAGTTGCTTCAATCCGTGATAAGCCTTGGAAGAAGGGGTGCTCATATTCCAGAGACGAAGATGGCGAAGATACCGAGCATCCGGCTCATATGGAAGTATGGTGTTCGTGCCAATGGGAGCGTCAAATAGCATATGTAGATTCAATCTTTGAAGATAGAGATAATCCAGCTTCGTACCAGCGTTAGCAGCAGCAGCAAGAAATATTGAAGCTTCTTTGTGATACCTCGCATCATGGCCCATACTGTCGCAAAAAGTTGATGTAGGCTTGACATCTAACCGTAAATGATCATATTGCTTGGGTTCACACCGTACCATAGTTAAGCGATCCAAAGAGCTGAGTTTTGGCAGCACTTGTGAAAATACGAAACTACTGAATTCGCTCTTCACCATCAAATCTTGTTCCTCACAAATCTTATTGCGAGCTTCAAAACCACGAACCATCTTGGTCAGGGACTCCGATCCTGGCTGGAATTCCACATCTCTCAGGAGATGGTTGTAATCATCTTCACCAACCGCCCTCATTCTCAACGGGTCGTAGTGTATGGCCAAGACACGTTTCGACATCCTGGGATGTTTTGAGATATTAAGCAGTTTTTCGAAACTCTCTCTGGTGAATATAACATATATATTTTTGGCGAGACGATCGATACCACCTGCGGCGCAAACATTGCTCATTAATCGAAAATTAAGTATATCTTTTATGGGGAGGTATTTGCAGACGGTCTGGATCATTTCGATGGGTAAAATTTCAGTAAGTGAAGGCCCAAACCCATCTTCCGCATCTGTGCTCATTGTGGCCCCAAGAAAAGGATCAGTCAAAGCAAGCACTAAGGTGGGTAGGAATATATTACCATTAGACATAGTTTCTAACTGTCTGCTTGTTGACAGAACATCCATCCCTTGAACAGACATTGTGCGTATGTTCAATTGCCGTTTTTAACTCGAATATCTGTTAGACCTCAGGATAAGAGATGAGAAATGTGAAGTTTGATATGGGAGACAACAGAATCTTAATCAGAGTGTATACAATAGGCAAATATCCCCCAAAAGTTTTCTTAGTTGGGTAGATCGTAAGAGAACGATACTCATATTCTTTTGACGATGTTTTAGTTGTAGAGGAGGATGTAGTCTGTCTACTTTCGAAAGACTTATCCACAGGAAGAAAATTCGCCTACAAGTTCCTACCATGGTGCAATTTGAGACCATGTGAGTGGAGCGAATACTTCATTCGACTTCTTTTGAGTATTCAATCACCAGCAATATTTGGTTTTATTATCGGGAGGCTTAGAGGTCTTTGGGGGGAACCAAGTCAATCTTCAAATCCCAAAATATCATGTTACTTCTGTCCGTCAGACTATTGTTTGTATCTGATTCTATTCAGAGATTCATTCTCGTAGTTCTATTTGTATTGAATGGTTTTACCGAGGCTTTAGTCCAATCAACAGACATCAAGTATGTGAATGTCGTGTGTTCATCTTGAAGCCATTTCATGAGTCCAAGTACTCATTGAGCGATGCTGCAATCTTGGTATTGCAAACTTCAGCGATTCGAATTGTTAGGAAACGAGTATGAGCATTTGCAAAGAGTTAAACCACACAGATCCCAATCTTGCCCAAATTTCATTGAAAGCATTTTCTCACGATTCAGCATATCGATGAAATTTATGTAGTACAGAACGTCGTCGCGAACGAGAGAGCAAGATTAATATTAATCGACACCGCTTTCCGTAAGTATATTCTGCCACTTGATCAAAAACATGTGGAGGGACGTGAAATGTTGTGTAACCAGAAGTCATTGTTTCTCAGAGTGACTCATCTTCACTCACTCTCATTCGCGTATCCTCTTTCGACCGCCATCTCCGCCGAATCTAGCTATTTGTTCACCATTCTCTTCTGCCGCATTTCGGCGGAGAATCGACAATGACATAAAACTTATCATATTATATCCCATTCAACTCATGATCCTTTCCTTTTTGATACCCAAATATGCAAGCATGCTGACTACACGTAAATCAGATAAGGTTCCTTTGATGAGAGCGGTAAGTTGAGGGCTGACGGATGTAAGCGCTTGAAACTTGGCCCAATGGGTAAAGCATTTGTCGGGGTATGGAATGCAGTTTCGAAGGTTCTACAAGATATTGCAATATCTTTGATGAAGTTTTGTTAAAGTTTCGTTGTGATTCATCGGCGGAAGTATTGCAAAATGTATTGCAGAATATGTCAGCGCATATATCGACTACCCTGCGTGATTAGGATGAGGTCCATGCCGTCTCCGTCACACCATCTCCGCAAGGCGGTCTTATGAAAAGGATTAACGTCTAATACCCGAGTGTGAGTGCGTTCGAGTGAGATGAGGAAAGAGGCTTCTATAAAGGGATTCCGTTTTGCTATGATGAAAGAAAACAATTTTGAACATTAATCGGATTCACTTTTATACTTTCCCATTACTTCTTCGAATTTTGATTACAGTTGCTTTGCGATTGTTTATTCTACTTTGATCAAGATAATAAAATAACAAGTTTGATGTCTCGAGACGACCGAGCAAAAATGGAAACCTCAAGGCCAACAACAGTGGTCTCTGATACTGATTTGGAAAAGAGTACTGCGCCTTCGATTCGTGATTCGATATCGAGAGAGAAAAAGAGCAGCACAGATGGTGCGGATTTAGAAAGTGGAGAGATAAACAATAATGGCCCAGGGGAAGATGGTTTAGAGTATCCAAAGGCTTTTGCAATGGTGATGATAGTGATTGCTTTATCGCTCAGTATCTTTCTTGTCTCTCTGGACATGACGATTGTGGTATGTATATCTTCTCTCCCTTTTGCTTTGCGACTAGGAATCACAATATATCATCATACAGTGGAGTGTAAAGCTAATATAATCTCAGGCTACAGCAATTCCAAAAATCACCGACCAGTTCCACGGCTTAGATCTTGTCGGCTGGTATGGTTCTGCATTCTTTCTCACAGTCGGTTCCTTTCAATCAACATGGGGAAAAGCCTACAAATACTTTCCGCTAAAGATAACTTTCCTCATTGCCATTTTCATCTTCGAACTCGGGAGTTTAATCTGCGGTAAGTTGTCTCAAATTTCGAAGTGTAGCACAAACACTAATTCGAAAACTCATAGGCGTTGCTCCGAATAGTACCGCTTTGATAGTAGGTCGAGCCATTGCAGGACTTGGTGGTGCTGGAATTGCCTCCGGAGCATATACAATCATAGCATTCGCAGCACCTCCCTCCCAACGTGCAGCTTATACGGGTATTCTAGGCGCATCTTATGGAGTGGCATCTGTAGTAGGGCCACTTCTCGGAGGTGTGTTTGCAGATAAATTGACATGGCGTTGGTGTTTCTACATTAATCTGCCGATTGGTGGACTCGCAGGAGCTATCATCCTATTTCGTGAGTATTTGACTAATTCTCATACTCTATATCTTAAACATACAAGTGCTAATATATCGACTTCCTAGTGTTCACTACACCTAAAAATGCAGTACCAACTCCTGCTACCCTCAAGGAAAAGATCTTACAGATGGATTTCCCAGGAACATTTACAATCATGGCCAGTCTCGTCTGTTTCTTCCTGGCTCTTCAGTGGGGTGGCCAAACGAAAGCCTGGAAATCTGCCGATGTCATCGGTACTCTCATCGGCTTCGTTCTTCTCCTCATTCTCTTCATTGTAATCCAATATTTCCAAGGCGAGCGTGGAGTTATCGTCGGCCGTTTGTTGAAAGAACGTACAGTTTCTGTAGGAATGGTATATGTATTCTTTCTCTGCGGCGGATGGTTCCTTCTACTCTACTATCTCCCCTATTACTTTCAAGTCGTCTCTGGAGTTTCGGCTTCTCAATCTGGTGTGCGAAATCTGCCAATGATTATAGGTACCACTATCGCAACCATCATCTCTGGGGGATTGATCTCTGCATTTGGCCATTTGTAAGTTTCAACTCAGCACGACATCTTCCTGAAGTCCCAACTCTACTAACACATTTCCCAGCGTTCCATTCATGATCATCGGCGCAGCCGGCGCAACAATCGGATGCGGACTCCTCTACACGCTCGGCGTCGATTCCACCTCGGCACAATGGATAGGCTACCAAGCCCTCGCCGGCCTCTCCACGGGCTTTGTTTTCCAAATCCCCGTCATCTCCGCCCAAGCTACCGTCTCCCAAGCCGATCTTTCTTCCGCGACGGCAATGGTGTTGTTCGCCCAAACAATCGGTGGTGCATTCTTCATCTCCATCGCAGAAGCGGCTTTCGCAAACCGTATCTTGCATGTTCTTCCTCACTACGCACCTTCGGTATCCCCAGCCCAGGTATTATCAGTAGGGGTTAGCGAATTGCGAAATGTGTTTGGAAAAGAGGGAGAGTTGATCGAGGGGATCATAGAGAGTTATTTGCAGGGACTAAAAGTTACATATGCGTTGGCAATAACCTGTTGCGGAATCGCAATGTTTGTAGCTTTCGGAAGTCACTGGCCGTGGAAGAACTTGAAAGGGAAGGCATCCATGAGTGGAGCTGCCTAGTTTGAGAGCTGCCGAGTAGATATGCAGGGGCGTACTTGAGGAATTTTTTATGAAGGGTAATAGACAAATTAATGACGAGGACTGGGAAATATAGAATTGGGCATACATAGACTGCTATCAAGTAATAAATGGCTAGCTCTTCTTAATTGAAATGATATAATGTTTTCTCCTCTCAAAATTCATCTATACACAATCTATAACTACTAGGTAACTACCAGGTATCTACTGATGGGTATTTATCCACTACTTTCTACCTCTCAAGAATTCCTGAAAGCTCATCATGTACTTATCAAAGCAAATTCGCCGAGAGATGTCAGACATCAGACGTCCGACTAACCGTCAAACAAGACGTTAGACTCTACTAGGTAGATAGCACGGAACTAGTAAAAATAGCTCCAACGTCATTACGACCATTACTTTTCTTCCATGAGCAACCAAATCTAGAAATTTATTTCTCGGTTCCATCTATTCGTTCATCTCCATATCAGAAATTTCTTGAGCAAGTAAAACTTTTCTTACAAGTTCGATTTCTTCATACATCTTTATATTTGGTATCCATCTTCGACGATCACATAAACACGACATACAACCCGATATAGAAAATCGACCTATCTCGAATACGGAGGACTGTTGAGACATCGAAATTCGAAGTCATATCATATACGTCATCCAAAGTTCGAACAACCATCCATATATATAACCGACGACAAATAACCCTCCCAACCGAGCCGACGAGAATTCCACCCCTTCGAATCCTCATCTCGAAACCGAAAAAATGAGCGAAACAAACATTTCAATTCCGATGAACAACCCGGATAACTCTATCCGCCGTCTCCAGGCGGCGTCGCCCATCCGATTCGACCCCCTCAACGAAGTAGCCGCCTTCGACATCTCGCCTCCCAACTCCCCTCCTCCACCCTACTCGCGCATTCCCCCACCTGACGCCCCCACTCTTCCCCCGTACATCATCTGCACCTGCAGCTCGTACGAAAACCCCACGATCCTCGTGGATCTCGGTTTCCACAGCGAACTCTCCCACGAAATTTGGGACAAATGGCAGCTGCACAAACGCCAACACCCAGAGGTCTATCAGAACGTGAATTCGCGGTCGCTCCTCTATTTATTTTTCTCCTTCGTCTTCCAAGCCACACAACTCCCGTTCGCATTCCCCGGGTACGACCCTCGTTATTTTCATTCGGAAATGTGTGTGTATTTGTCTAGGTGGGGGATACCTCACAATGAGTATTTCACACGAGAATGGGACGAGGCGCAGAGAATTGAGAGGTGTGCTTGTGCAGCGGCAGAATGGACGGTTCTGATTTTGAGCAAAGACTGCGAGGGCCACCCTCGATTGACATATGATTTGACTGGGTGGGATGGAGTCCGAATGTCTGAATTGCGGAGGATGGCGATGGCTGCGACATCAGTAATTTGAGGACATGTCGACGAGCTTTCGCATACCCGTGAGATAATTCACCACCTCATCAACGGCAAATATATCTAATACCTGGGTAGTGATAGTTGTTGTAATACTGTAGATCTCCTGCGAGCACTGGCATTGTAAAGGTTCAAGCTATTGGTCGCTTAACATGCAAGCCAGTATCGTACTTTGCAGTCAGAGCCGCTACACCCTATCATATTAGCGACGGTTCAATTTGGAATCGGGTCCACCAGAGACCCATATATTCACCAAGCCAAAGCAGGATTAGATATCAGATTAAAGCATACCCGTTGGTATGTGGAGACTGTGTCGCTCATCAACAAAGACTCTTCCGCGAAGGAGAACAGAATTCTCGCCTCCCCGCCTCGTGCCGGCACAGGCGACACCAGCGCCACGTCCCATAGTCTCAACCATAAACCGACAATCGAAGCCTCTCAATCCTCGAATCCAATCCAAAACCTCAAACCATCCAAAAGATCGAATACATCTCGAACATCGATCCCTTTTCAAATTTCCAAATACTCTCAAACATTGCCAGCTCCTGAATATCAGACTGCGATACGGACTATCGCAAGCAGACACCCATAATCATAACCCTATCTATATTTGGAGATGTCAAATGAGATATCAAAGATCTTGTGGACCAGAGTATTTAAAGATGAACCCATGTTGTTGTATATATGGATCAAGATATATATGATTCGATATCCCGGGATGAAAAGAACATAAGAGGAGAGAAGGGCGGATCTTGTGAGGTAGACCCCTCGAGAATCATATGTCGGATGGATCTGGACTATTGGAACTATATCTGCGAGAGAGGGGAGAGGTTTGAAAGTTCTGCTTCATTGTACACCCACTACTTGTTTTATAAAGGTATTAGGTAGTGGAATACAACGAAGAAAAGAGGAAAGAAGAGAAGGAAGGAAGGAAAGAAGGAAGGAAGGAGAGAAGAACGTAATTAACAGATTCCTACTTCATTGTATACCCACTACTTGTTTTTTGAAGGCATTAGGTAGTTGGATGCAATGAAGAAGGATATAAAGAAGAGAAGGAGAGAGGAAGGAACGAAGAATATAATTGGCAGATTCGCGGACAGAGAAATGGGTTAAGACAGATGAGAATGGCATAGAATACAAGAATAAAACCAAGACATTTAAAAAAGAGGTTGATAGTATCTTCCAAAAAGCTTTTTGAAAGAGAAATGCGCCGTGTAGCCCATGCTAGATTCTCAATGTCACTCGACAAAGAGTACCTAGATATGCGTATCTACATTTCCTTGCCGAAAGATGAATGAATCATAACTCATCTCGTCTCATACTCAAAGTATCCAATTCGTCTTTCACTTTATTCAATTCATCATCATTATATCATGTACCCCAATCCCCCAAGATCCCTCAAGAGTCAAAAGTCAAGAAACGCCAGGTATAAACAATCTTTTCCCCTCACCTCTCCTCACCCCCTAACTCTCCACACTCAACGCCTTCGCTCCAACCAATCTCCCCCCCTCAACCCCTACAACCCAATACTCAACTCTCGCTCCCTCCCCCGACACCCTATAAACCCTCACATCACTCCCCTTACTAGCATCCCTCACTGCCTGCACAATCTGCTTATACTGTCCCTGCGGATCCCACTCCCCAATATCCATAATCTGTATTTCTTCCGCTGCGTCTGCGGGAGCAGGATGGGCTATGAGCTTCGCGAATGTTTCTATTTTTCGTTAGCACAGATACCAATAATTTCGAAAACTTCTCAAAAGAGCGAGAAACAAACCTTCATCCGGCATTCCTCCTTCACATTTCAGCGCCACAACAACAAATGGTTCATCGGTATCACTGGTGTACCACGCATCCTTGGTTGCTCTAACCAACACGCTAGGTACATCCACATCATCATCCATCGTCTTGAACTCGGCTTTTTTATTACTGCTCGTAGCCTTTGATGTGCCAGCACTGGGATCCTCGTTGGCTTTGTCGAGGAACGCCATGTAATCTTCGTCTGATCCCATTTTGTCTGTGTAGTTGTTCGTCCGTTCGGATAGTGTTCGAGGTTGTGTACTTGTGTTTACTTCCTCCGGACTTCTATTCTCCTTCGTATTTCTCGAAATCGCAGAGCTATGCAAGAAACGCTGCTCAGTTCTAGAACTTCTCTCAGACCCAGACTCTCCAATTCGTGCTTGTCGAGAAAACAAAGTAGTAGGAATCGCAAGCTTAAATTTTCCGTCTACGCAATAACCTCTACCTTCTGTGTAGCGTCCAACGCAAAATCTCTCTGCGACGTCGTCCTTAACACCGTTGACAATTTCTGCAGCGAAGCCCCTTCGATTTCCTTTCCCTTTCCCTTTTCCTTGTTTACTCCCTCGCCCAAATCTGCCTCCAATTCTGCCCGAGGCGTCTCGAACGATGGTAAATAACCTAATGATTGCGATCTTCCCTTCTCTGGACTAACTCTTCCTTCTAATCTCTCTGTTCTCTGTGTTCTTCCTCCCGTCTCACGATAAACACTCGGTGTGCGACTTGCCGGTGCAGATATTGTTTGTTTGTTTACTTTTTTATTTTTGTTCTTCTGTTTGCGACTTCTTTCAATAGATTCTTTGATGCTTCGATAAGGGATGGCGAGGACGGCGGAAAGTGCACCCATTGATATTGACAATGTAGTGAAACTAGTAAATAAAGCTAAGAAGAGAGGGGTTAAGGAAGGACCAGAGGATGTTGTGTGATTTCGGTGACGTGGGGTAATGGGGAATCTCTCTTTTTCTTGTTTGTGCAACTTAAGAATCTATATACAGGGGTGTTTGGTGGGATGACGATTTTTACAATTGAAGAAAGATAGAGGATATAGGAGAGAAGGGAAAAAAAGAAAATTACTCAAGGGATCACTGGTAGATTGAAGAATGCAAAACAAAGTTCACTATCTTGCAAAGAGAACTTATATCAGATCGAGTTATAGAAAGTTTGATTCAAGTGATTGCTAATAAAGCCAACTCGTAAATTGTTCCTAGGGTCTCAGTGCAAGGTCTGTTAAAATTTGTTGGAAAATACAAGGAAAAAAGGGGTCAAGAGGTCGAGAACGAGGTCCGTCAAGTGCTAGCCGTAAATATAATACGATAAGAACCATCTTGTCAAATTCTTTCACTGTATTGAAACCAACATGGCCTGGATCAAAGTTCTCAGTTCTCACAATTGGCTGGGCTCGCCAAAACATCATCATAAGTTGAATCATTATTGAAATTATTGGATATCATTGACATTTCTTCATTGATGGAATGCTAGTATATCCATAGGTAATCATGGACTGCTTTATTGCACATATGATACCCCCACCGACTACACCTATCGAAACGTAAGAAACCCGAAATGCGAAACCAATTTTTAAATTTATGAGGATTGAGCAATGTCCTTCTTGAGGGTACCCAAGAATTGGTGCTTCTCCTCGGCGGTTTGGTAAGCACCGTGACCGAACTTGGAGGATGTATCGATCCATTTCAACTCAACCTTCTCCAAGGCCTTTCTTGAGGTGTGAACGAACATGGATTTTCTGAGAGTCATGACACGCTTCTTAACACCTGGAACGGAACCCTTGAGCATGATGAAGTCGTTCTTGACCTCACCATATCTGACAAAGCCACCCATACTGAAATTATGTTAGTCAATGTGATACTGAAAGTGACATACTGTTAAAACTTACGGGGTGATGGCCTTCTTGGAGACATCGAACTCGGTGGCGGCGTTGTTGGGGTCGTCACCACGTCCGATACGGTAGACCTTGTGGTTGCAAGAGGTACGATGATGGTATCCATCTTGACCAGCACGGGCAACAGTCCATTGGACGTGGGCTGGATGCCAGGCACCGATACAGGCGACCTTACGGAGACCCTTGTGTGTCTTTCTGGGAAGCTTCTTGGTTCCCCATCTGCTGGTGACACCAGAGAAACCGTGACCCTTGGTGACAGCGATGACATCAATCATCTCATCTTGCTCGAAGATGGAGCTGATCTCAACTGGCTTCTCGAAGAGACCGCTGGCGAAGTCAACCTTCTCAGCGACGCTACCTCCGTTAACTTGGATCTCCATCAAATGAGCCTTCTTTTGTTTGAGAGGAGTCTTTCTGATTTGAGTGTGGGCGAGGACACGGACGACGGTGCAGTACTTCTTGATACGCTCGAGTTCACGGGTGATGGAAGATCCGCTGTTCTCGGAGTGCTTCTTGGCGTACTTGGTGAAAGCCTTCTTCTTGCTCTTGTACCAGTTCTTGTAGAATCTGCGCTTAACTTCGTCGCTCAAATGTTCGGCCCAGACGGTTGTAAGGGATCTGAGACCACGGGGAGTCTCAATGTAACCCACTAGACCAACAACGATAACCTAAAAAGATATTAGCCATTGGCTTAAGCCAAGCGGGCTGCGTTGCTCGTACCGGTGGTGTCTCAATGACAGTCACTGCTTCAACGACCTCCTTCTTGTGTGTCTTCGCACCAGGACGGTCGAGGTCGCGGACAATGGTAGTCATACCAGCCTTATAACCAAGAGTGGCAGTAAGGTGGACTGGCTTGGTCTTATCATCCTTGGGGAAACTGTTTGTAATTGAAAAGTTAGTAAATGTGATCTTCCTTCAAAAAATTGATTTGCAGACGGATATCGATAAATTCGTAAAATCCTCAAAAGTCGCAAAAGAATGGAAATTGGGGTAAATGCTTCACCTCTTGACCTTTCCGCGGTGACGGCTTGCTCTCTTTCTTGGGAGATAAGCAAGGGATCCGTGACGGGGAGCTTCGAATTTACGGTGCGACATGTTGGCGGTGGTCGACTTCTTTAGGTGTTGAGGTTCAAAAGTTCAGAAGGATTCAATGAGAAAAGTTCACGAATATTGAGAGTGTGCGATTTCTCGGTTTAGAATTATCTTAGTGTCCCAAAAGTGGCTTAGCGTTCAATTGAAAAAAAAGTTCTGAATACTTGCCCCATCAAGTCTTGGCATCAATAATCGAGACCCTTCGCTACACGTGATCTAAATTCTCGCGGTTTTCTAAACCTCTTGTCTCATGAAGCCTTGGAGAAGTCTTTGTACAAGTCTATTATTATTAGTACGATTGGCCGTTTATATTGTTTATATTGTACTATGAAGTTGTAGAGTGAAATCGCGGCCATTGTATATATAGATCGTGTTTCTGTGTCTTTTATGTTCATCGTCTGCCTGTCTTGACTTTCCACACTCCGAAAATTGCAATCATATGTAACAGTTGAATTATGTAACATCAGAAACACGTGAAGAAGCCCAGTGAAATATTATTGAAGTCTCTTTACTATCATGACACTGGGTATCGGTATTGGTATGGGTACACCCTCTAAAGGTTTCGACACCTCGCTCCTCAAATTCGCTCATTGCCTCGCGAACTCTCAACCCCAATTTCCACCTCTCTTTCGAGTTTCTCTTAAACACCCATTCATTTAAATTCAGCCCAGTCATTCCAAACTATTCATATCAAAGTCGATCAAAGGATCCCACCCACATTGCAAAATCCAATCAAATACAATATCAAACCAGAGACCAAGCCAGCCAAGCCAAACCAATTGATCCAATCCAATCAGTTAAGTCAGTCAGTCAATAAGGTCAATCCATTCATTCGTTTATCCTCACTTCCACTCCCCCAACTTCCCCCTGCCTATTTTTTTTTTTTTTTTTTTTGGTAAAGATACCCATCTAGAGCTCCGTTATCTCTCTTTCTAAATTAAACACAATAATCGAGTTGTGAAGGTCACTCCATCTGTCAACTCAAAAACTTAAACTGAAAACTGAAAACTTGTAAAATATGAACCAGTGGTATTGTTGTACAACAGCGATAGCACAAAGGCTTCAAAATGCACTTTAAACATAACCAACAACAGTTGGTGTGAAGCTAGAAAGGCAAATCAATAAACGTGCTTGATGCTGAAAAGTATAAAACGCCGACGCCGCTATGCAATTGTGTATTTGTAGGCGAAGAAAACAAGATTAATAACAAAAACGCGCGCTCTTTTGTAATATTCGGTGAAAGAAAAGATGAATCGAAATCGCCAGGCGCCGCCATGTCCGACCGCCTTCTATATGTCCTTTGGCGTGTGAATATTCGTGCCACGTCTCGAGGGGTATATGATTCGCTTTTGCGCTTTTGCAAAGCAAAGTACGTCCTTTATACAAAAAGTTTGTGAATGAAATGAAGAGTCTTTAGCATTTGTCGACATATTCTGTAGCTGGCTACTTGCATTTGTCGACAAATTGATTTGTAGCTGGCTAGTCGCACTTGTTGACAAATTGATTTGTAGGCCACGAGTAGCCAGCGTCTGACCAAGTCGTATGATTTTGATTTTTCTAAATTCATTAGCATGGTGCTCTGAGCAATTGAAGAAAGTGATAAATCAACTTACATATGCCTTCGGGAACTTTTCGATGTATTCGGTGGTTGGGTATCCTTCAGGGTCACAAGTGACCGATTCGGATCCTTCTTCTTGATATATCCGGATGTAATCAAAACGCATGGTAGCGGGGAATAGAGTGTTCAAATTAGGCATCATAACTTCGGAGAAACTGGTGCCCATTCCCAAATTCATGATAACAGTCATAGGCTCCTCCGGCATCGTTCGTTGGCCAACGTTTCCGTTTGGCCTCAATGCACGGGCATCCATTTTCCAAGTGTACTGATCACCAACGAACCATGTCACCTGTCCCTCGGATCCAGGAGTGTATTCAAATCCATACGTTTGATATCCGTGGCCATCATACCAATCATTGTTGAGCCAAGTCACTGAAGACATAGCTTGTTGATAACCTCCACCTCGGTAGGTGTTCACAGAAGTCTGTTCGTTGTCATAAACCTCAACATAGTTGTAATCGGGCATGTAGAATATGTCGAATGGGGCAATCTGGTAAGATTGAGATGCGAAACCTGTACCCGTTCCCCAGTTCTCCGTCATGAATGCAATGCTGGCTTCTAGTGCATCAATTTCAGGTGCTGATCGAGAATTACCTTTTGAAGGATGCGTTTGGCCCTGGCACGTACAAGCTGGCAGCTTCATACCGGGTAACCAACTGATACCATCCGATGAACTTTGATTTGCCGTGATTCCGTAATCGCAATGATCCCAATAACTGTAGGGCCACATGCCCTCTGTGGTAGCTAGGTAACCGGGTCGTCCCAAATTGCCCATACTCCAGAAACCGGGCCAGAAACCGGGCCAATCTCCTCGGCCAGGTAATGAAATGCTAGCTTCCACACGACCACCCTTAAAGCACAACTTATTCCACGATTGGACCATCCCAGAGCGATAATTCAAGTTGTGACTTTGAAAAGCGTCGAACTTGATGTTCATAGTGCCGTTTCCGGTCGTTACAGCATCGGGATCGTACCATTCCAAATCCTGAGTAGCACCATACCAGATATCCACGGCTTGAAAGAATGGATCATCGCCATCGTAGAAAGTTCGTCCATCGGTATTGAATTCGTCAGAAACTAAGATCATTTAGCATTAAACCAAACTCCATGATGTAGAAAACCCTACCACAAGCTTCAATTTGGTGCCATCGTGAGCGGTCTTGCTCTTGACGGAGTCTGGAGTATCCGGATCTATGAGACCCGTTCTCACATTCTTGAGAAGGGAAACTTTATCTGATAAACAATCTGCTGCTGATGCACAGGCACCATGAGTAGGATCGATTTTGTCTTTCACGAATGTACTAGACAATAGTTAGCAGAAGTTTTCCCGGCGATCGATTAATAACATACACAACTGGATATGCAACGAACAAGGCCAGTACGCCCAAGACGATGAAGATCAATCCTCCAACGTTTGTAAGACCTCTCCGATTCCATATATCGCACTTATCCAGGTCTTTATCACTTGGATCCGGGTTGTGAAGGTAATCGTCTTTCTCAACATCTTCTGGGAAAAGTAATAATCCTGCCGATGGCATGATGTTATATTTTTCGGAAACAGTTTGTGTATTGATATTCTCATCATCGCTGTCGCCGGCTCTCGAAGAAGCTCTCGAGTCATCAAAAGGTGAGCCAAATGGTCCTGCTCGACTGTCTCGACTTCCCGCCTCTGAGCTCCAACTTGTTCTGCGTGACGAAAACCCTGATACTGAGGGAGAAGGTAAAGGATAGTCGGAGTATGATGATGATTGATTGTTCGCTGCAGGCCGTGATCTCGAAGGAGGAAGTAGCATTTCATTTGACTGAGCCACATCGGGTGAGCCATATACTTGAGGGGCAGCCATGCGTGACTGTTGCGAGCCTGAAGTCGGTGGTCGCGGCGGCGGGATCAACTGCCTCGATTGACCAGGAGTTCCTGCAGTAGAAGGAGAGGTAGTAGATGAATTGAGCAGATCTCCACCACTGCCCGAATTGACTGTTATGTGAGGGGGCCTTCGCCCGGAGCCACTGTAGGAGTGGTCCATATCGACGATAAAAACGAGCCCAAATTAGAATCTTATGAGTGCAATGGCATGTGCTACGTCAGCCAAGGCGGTTGTGGTTGATGTTCTGGAATGTGGAATTCGTAACGGGTTCGTAAAATGGAAGAGTGAAAGTAGATCAAGAACACGCTCAATTCCTTTCAAAGTTCTCGGGCGGCAATCAACAGCAAGCTCGGATCAAATCGTGAAGTTCGAAATTCATAGAGTATTATCGTAAAAGGTATCGAGTGTCGTTAGTTTTAACGGCTGAGAAGTGAAGGATGAAGATTGAGGTCTTCCAGATGGCCAGCAGAATTTACAAAGAAAGGAAGTGTATCCAAGAATCCTTCTTGATCGAAATGAGAAGGGAGTGAGTACAAACGAATGTCAGGATTAGAATCAAGGTCGAAGTCGAAGTCGATGGTTGGATTAGAGTTTCTTGAGATCCTTTGGAGAATATCTCAAATACTGTGTCTCTTGTGTAAAAAAAGGTGTTTTTGTTATCAATGGTTGGTTGAGATTGAGATTGAGGTTGTGGTTGACAAACTAGGGCGTTCAATTCAACATGAAGTAGAAATCTTTTGGCGTCAGATGAATGAATGAATGCTGGTTGGGTGGGTGGATGGATAGATGGACGGATGGATGGTGGCGCGGATGAAAAGGAAATCAGCAGGCTTTCGGCTTTGAATCAAGTTTGCTTTCTTTAGAACATGCAGAAGTAGAAAATGCGCAAGGCAAGTTGACCGGGAAGGTTCAAATGCAGATTGCTAAGGGTTTGTTTGAGACTTTTGAGATGTTCTTGGGTTGTTCTTTTCCTCGCACGTTGTTATTTTGGAATCGTTCAATCTTTCAATCGTTCAATCTTTCTTTCCTAGCACCGCCTGGGTATGTAGGTAGGTATGTACCTGGGTAGATAAAGTAAATGAATGGATAAAGGTTGGTTGGTTGATTGTCGAGTCGAGTCGAGTCGAGTCGAGTCGATGTGATTTGATTTTGAATGAGTGATTGATTGATTGATTCAGATGCAAAGTGCCCAGGTGGTTTAAGCAATCCTGTTTCCCCTCCCAAATCCACTTATAACTTCTCTCAATCAAGGACCAGCTCTCGCCGCTAAACAGCATTGGGTATGTTACGACACATGCGGATACCATTTATTACCCAGGCGATATCCATTTATTAGCTGCAATTAAAGATTAATACCTGGTAATCAAAAAGAGGGCGGAAGCACATTCAAATTTCAATGGCACATTGCACATTGCACACGCAAGATTGCTGATTGCAAAAGATTAGCTAGGGTGGCTATGGTAGGTTGTTACCATATCCCTAAAAGGGGGTCCCTCCCCAGAAGAAAAAAAGAGGAAAGTCCAAGGGTTTTTTTTTTTCTCATCACCATCCTGGACTGACTGATTGAAGAAACAAGGGTGATTGGGCCTTTTTTTGTGGAATTGTCAAGAATTAGAATTACTAGCTCAGGTACGAGGTAGTACAGTAGGTACACATGTGAAATCGAATAATCGAATCAATCCGGCAGAACCTTTTCTCGATTCCAATATCAGAACATATCAGAATCTTCAGAATACTTCAGAATATATCAGAATCTTGATACCTGGGTAGGTCTTAATCACATTATAGTTATACACCTTTTAACAGACTACCTATATATCCTCGAGTATTGATCATCCAATTCAATTATACCATCCGCTTACGCTCGTGGGACTAGCCCTTCAATCGTGAATCCGTGAACCAAATCCATCCTAACTTCTAACACACCCATGCCGTCCGGTTTGGTGCTATGTCAAGTCTGTTTCCAGGCCCGTTCCAATGGTTTCCGCATATTGGTGAAGCATAATCGCCGGATCTATTCTCAAAAGCTCCTGGTCGATCAATAAAAGGCTTCTAGTGATTTTAGTTTGATGAGTCGGACCAATTCTCTCTAGAGAATGCACTGTAGTCTCATCCAGACTCGAGCCAGACTCGCCAGAGTACCGACATCTCACGCCTTCTCACGCTTTCTCACTGCCGACTAAAATGTTAGTGTGTTGGATTACAAGCGCATGTGCAGTACTCTCCTCTCTCCTTCCTGTTCATCGCTTTCTCTCCCCTTAACGCTGGGAAGGTAGGATGTTCTTTTATATCTCAAACGACTATATCGATACCCAATAGGATTTTTCGACTTTTGGAGCCCGCAAGTCATGACTGCCTCATATTCCTCATCTTGGCTGCTATGATTGAGTCAATTCCCAAGTAGAGAGCGCCGCTCTTGTTGGCTGACCAGCATGCTAACCATAAGTATTCTTCGATCAATGCAAAAAGGCTGCCTACCTGGGTAAGTAATGCTTTGTTTGTTTTCGTGGCTCTATTTTCAGTAATCTGTTTACTCAGCGAGCTCAGCTGGAATATCAAATAGTATACCTAGTTCTATTGGACTCTAAACACCAACAACAGACGACCAACCTCACCGAATAGTGGGCAACCCAACTACGGTCTACCATCTCGTCCAGCAGTAACAATATAGCTCATCACAGGATAAATCTGTCACTCACAGGCTCACAGCCTCAACTTGTTTACGCGTCCAAAATAATTTAAGTGGCACCTTTGCCCTGGCTATCTATTAATACCCCTAGCTACTATCAAAATTCAATGTGGCCCGCTTCTTGACCATCGTTCGCTTTACGCGATTAGGATTAACTTGAAATGCAGTATCCTGGAAAGCATGCATGTAAAGAGGACTTTGGTTTGAATCCCAGATATCCTTGAGCAATGGGCATGCTGCAATCTGAAATCCCCTTCATGACCTCATCAATACCGCCGAATACAAAACTCTCTGGTGACTTGTCTTTTTTCTGACCTCCTTTTTGGATTCTCGACCAATTACTCGTTCTCATTCTCTTGCTTCTCAAGTGAGCAATATCCAGCCTCCAGATTTACTCAGCAAAGGACAACGGCGATCACAATAACGGTTTTTCCATATCCACTTCACTCCAATTCTGAAGATCTCATGGCAGATCCAAACTGTCTTTTCCACTCAGAAACATGAAACCCCAATCAATTCCGGTGAAGCTTACCTGGCAAGCGTACCTGGTCGTTACAACTTACGGAGTACAAAACGGAGTATCGTACTCGTAGAGTCTTTTGAGCTCAACTCGTTCATCAGCTTGCATTTGCATGATGGATCAATATCGGAACAATTTCCCACGGTAATCCACAAACTATCATCAATGATCAGACTCTACGGAGTAAAGGCGACTTCTCTCACGTGATAAATTCCTCTATCCGGAATCAGGATGCAAAAAAGTAATGAGATCCACTGCTGTGATATTTCTGTTATCTTCCATCTTTTCGTGTAAAGCTTGGCGGCGCAGGTACCGGTCGGGATGATGGAATGCGTGTCCGTCCCTACATGCGTATTTGATATCATAAAAAAGCGTACGTACGGAGTTCAAACTTATATCGGTAAAGGGGTGTGATTGAAGGATTCGGGTTTTGCATCGGGTTTTGCATCGATTTTTCCAAAGAGTCTCGTATAAATATTAATATGTACCGCAATTTCAGATTATAGTGCCGGGAAGCTACCTATGTAATGGTACTTATAACCACAAAAGATCGAAGGAGGCTCTGGGATCTAGAATAGTTTCATATTCACGAAGCTGCTGCTACTATTGAAACGTTATAATCCGCATGTTACTGACATCCAGTACAGACTATACAGTACTTTCCTCCTCAACATCGGTACCTACCAGTCATTATACTTTCTTTACAATTCTACGCCTACATTCTTACTTTATCCTCATATATTAGCCATCCCCAAAGCTTCAAGAGTCACGACATTCGATACCTAGGTCCTGGAGCCTCACAGTCCTCTTGCAGAACCGTGAAAGTCTCACATTTCCTCAAGTAAATCATTTATGTCATCATACTTTGTTCCATCACCAATCACCCAAATGTCAAGGATTTCTCTTGCCTCACTCTGATCCTATCGGTCTGAACCAGGTGTAAGGGTATATAAATTGAGGATCTACCGTAGATTACAATTTATAAAGATATGATTGAAAGCCAATATGGTGGGCTTTCAAGACATATGAAGCATCCAAGTGGCATGTATGTATTTTGTTTCATGTTTTTTTTATGTCGATTACTTTTGCTGCTCGTATTTGAGAGAGTTAGCATAGAGGCTGTGCAAGGGAAGGCCCGTTTTTATTCTCGAGTTGAGTTGATTATATCGCGGTTATGTGCAAGCATAAAGTTATGCTTGCAACGTCGACCCACGAGCTCCATTGTAAATCGTTTAGCAAGGAAATAATACAAAGTTCACTCTGTACATAAAACTTTCAACGGTTTACCAGAATTGTCCTTCCATTCTGTGGAGCGCTTTCGTCCGAAGTTAAGTACGTACACTTTATGGACGTACTCGTTAATATATTCCAAATTGTTGTTACCAGATTTCGAGTTCGAATGCCCGGACATGAAGGAGAGAAACTGCGACAACTTGGCAGATTCTGGACATCAAAAGGATCGACGAAGAATAGTCAATTATCTAGCAGTGATTTATTGTCTCATAGTAAACAAATTGTCACCGCTTTCTTGACAAGTGCCTGTGTTTACATCAGAGATATTGTTTCATGCTTCAGGTAAGATGGGCTTCACAGTCTAGATTTGAGATATCAATACCAGATGCAAGAGTTTCATACCTTCTGCCAGACTCAATAGACTCTTGTTCTTCATCTTCAATAGTGTGTTTGGAGAGCGAGGTTTCAATTGGGATTCACGATGGGCAAGCGTTGCAAAGAGAGTGGCGATGTACACTATAACCGCTTGAATCAGTCCAAATTGATTGAATTCCAGCTCAATAGAATGGATCTGAACATCGTATCTACAAGTTGTAAGCTTTTACAATTTTGATATATAACTCTGATTATATGTATATACCCAGAGATATTTGCAATGTCGTATGATCTTTACTGGTAATTAGTTGCGAGATTTCCTGCGAGAATTATGGACAGCTTGAATTCAACGAGAAAGCATACAACGTGACGATGAAATTTCTAAAGTGTCGGTTATCATTTCATTCTATTCCATCGCTCGCCTCTGTTGAGATACAAAGTTCAGTCTCAAAGAACCAGAACGATATTCTAGAAATTATAGGTACGCTCTAAACTAAACCTCAAACATTAGAAGAATACTTTAATGTCATTTCCGTAATTTCTATTGTCCTTACAATCTTGCACAGCAATGGGTATAGACCCAGCCGCAGGATGTGTTCCCCAATGTTCAATCTAAGTATATACATAACACAGGATCGCATGGGACAGCGAGCCAAGTAATCACGTATGTCATCCAAGTACACAGCACCAATTCAACAATTCAACAAATAGTTAATATTAATATTCGGGTATCCAATCTCTGTATCCATGAGGGATATAATCATAACTTCATAACTGATCCATCATGCCACACCCATGGCTGGATTGGCACCAGTGCGATGCTTCTCAAGGTCGCCTTGATAGTGCTCAACATCAACCCCGTTCTTGTCGCTAATCTCTTGAGCTCTTCGCTCGATATCTGCGGCGTAGCCAGCATTGTATGATGCTTTGTCTGTTCCAGGAACCTGTTCTGCTGTTAGGATTTGGGTTTTTTGAATGTGTAATTCGAGTTGGTGATAAAAAGGAAGAACTTACGAGAATGGGTGCATGAGTAAAGAGATAATTCATCTCTTCCAAAGGCTTCCTCGCAGTTTCGGGCAAGAAGAGGTAGAAGAATAGCGCGTTGGTGAAATTGCAAATGATGAAGAGGAAGTAGAATTTGTATCCAATGTTGGTCATGGCCATATCGGTGATTTGACCGATCAGCGTGTTGAAGGCGAAGGAAACCATGGTTGCGATCGAGACACCCTTAGAACGGGTACGGGTGTCAAAGATTTCGGCAGGAATTACCCAAGAGAGAGGTCCGCAGGTACAGGAGAAGGAGAAGTTGTACAGCCAGGTCATGATGATGAAACCCCAGGAGGCGCCGATGTTATGGTTGGTGGCGGGCGGAAAGCTGGCGATGAGGACACAGGCAATGAGGAATGTGAGCTGGACCCATTGTTAGTATTTTGTGATCTT